AACTCGAGCGACACAACTCTAGTCAGCTTTCCACAAAAGTAGACGATGGATTCAAAGGAGCTGTTTAGCCTACACCTGGTCACTTCATGCATTTTCTGTGATCGGATAGCTATTCGATTGTGAAAAGACCAGGGTGTAAATGCCCTCCGAAACGCATTCGAGACGGATTTGAATCCGATCGCTCATGAGGACGTGGTCTGGGCCGTATTCCAGACAAAACTGGACAAGTGTAAATGCATCTGGTTGATGAAACCAAGCTATATGTCATGTTATTTTAGTCATATATGACGATGCGCATCACCTCAGATGAGCAGCTGAGCTGAGCCCCTTCAAGCCAGCGCGCCGCAATCTATCGCAAATCAAAGTGAAAGTAAGTCGCAGACGCTTAACACTACCATCAAAATCTTTGCTTAATAATTTGATTAATAAAATGCAGCTCATATCTGTTGCTTTCGGTGACGTGCACTTCATTTAATCTGTATATGGCGCGGAAAGAGACCGGCTTGTAGTTCATTACAAACCCCAACGCAAACTCCACGTGAGACAAAGAAAATAAAACTTCTGTCTGTCCAGTCCAGTGCCAGGCGTCGGAATAAGACGAGAGTCAACATCGGGAAGGCTTTCAACAAACGGAGAGATCTCCGGTCTGCTCTAGGGCTCAAACGGGTTCTATACAAAGTGATAACTGAACGTGTTTCCATAATAATTCAATCATAAGTGGATACAGTAAGCACGTGGAGATAGATGGAAATAAAAACCGAAGTTTTCTACTACCCCCGTTTCCCCCTCTCACACACATAAGTCTGTAATTTACGCGAATGCCTTTCCTTTCATATATTTTAAATGACTTGCAGATTTATTACCGTATTACCTCATTATGACTGTAACAAAAGATGTGTGCCGCACAGTGTGCAGCTGATACTCCTTTGGTTATGAACAGCTCGTGCAAATGTGCATGTGTGTGTGTTCCTCCACGACCGTGCACAGCTCTGGTTGCAGTTTCGCTTGTCGCCAGAGAGGGCGTAGTTCTGCAAAACTCAGATACTTGCGTTTAGCTCCTTTAAGCAAGTATGGATATATACAGAAGTTTCAATATATTGGTATTAAATGCATTTTCTGAGAATTTATACTTCAGGTTTTGACTGCAAATGTCACGTCCGTAACGCTGGAATTGCCCCATTTTAATTTATCGTCCTCAACTAGTTTTGTGGTGTAGGTATATTTATTTTATAATGTTAACTTCAAACTGTAATGAAGTTGGAAGGTGTATGTCGCGATTCTGCCTTCTCACACGCGACACAGGTTTGTGGATCTGAGTATCACGAGTTCGGTTTTATATCGCGTTGTTACCGCTCTCTACAATAGCTTTTTAAAATACACAAACTGACAATATTAAAGTGGTTTAAAACATCCCCACTTAAAGCGTTATTGGTCTCGACTATTTAAATAAAGTTAAAGGGACTTGGCCTCAAAAAAAAAAAATCTGGCAGAAGAATTTTTTTTCACTTTAACAACTGTAATGTGTTTCATAGTAAAAAAAAAAAAATGCATTGTGTTTGGTTTGATCTGGTTGATGTCGTTGTACAGAAAGAATGTTTTGACGGTTGTTTGTGGTATTATCAGGTTGCTCTTCTCATCGACGATTGATGGAACGGAGGCCAATCAGGGGGCAATCAGATTTCAGCAGGGGCCAGGACCCCTTGTGGCCCCACCTCTTGAACCGCCCCTGGATGCGTGGTCAAGAGTCAAATCAAGTTTGTGCCGCACTGGGGATCCCTTTTCCGTCATAGTTCGATGTAATGGGGGAAGCCCTGCAGCGTCAGTTTGTGACGGTAAATGCAGGGAGCCTATTGGTATTGAGCTAGGAGAGCGGGGTTTGTGTCCCGTGTGAAACAAAAAGTCAACATTAAATATTTTTATTTAGGCATATTATGACATAAGTGACCAGCCCGTTCTCATCCTTTAACGTCATATAGAACGCTATATGCAAAAAACGGCGCTATACTACGCACATGGCACCCTTTATCGTTAATACAACACGCAAACCCAAGACATCATAAATCCTTTAGCGTGAATATGACACGCACACCCTACCCCACACCTAAACTTAGCCCATACAGCGCGTGTTATATTAACGATAACGGGTGCCATGTGCGTAGTAGCGCCGTTTTGTCACATAGCGTTCTATATGACGTTAAAGGATGAGAATGCGTTGAAGTGACAGTGTTCACTGAAATATTTAGTTATGTAGTAGCAGCCCATTCTCACTCCCAAGGCGTCACCTAACTGACGCCTTGGGAAGCATTTGACCATGCTTCAATATCTGACGCTTTAGGCGCCCTTTAGCGTCAGTTAGATGACGCCCTAGGATCGCGTGTACCCTACCCCCACCCCATACCTAAACCTAACCGCGTCCTCTAACTGACGCTTTCCTTTAGCGTCAGTTAGATGACGCCGTAGGATCGCGTCATGTAAGTGACGCTAAAGGGCGCCTAAAACGTCAAATATTGAAGCATGGTCAAAGGTGACGCCTTGGGGTGAGAATGTGTTGGTAGTAGTTGTAATATGTAGTTATTTATACCCAATTACAGCATTATAAACATTTGAAGAGTTCAGATGCAAAAGCCTCTAAGTGCCATTTGAAATTTTCTTCTAGAATGATCATTTTTATCGAGCCTGTATATTTAAGTTCAGTAATTTCACTTAAATTGCAATGAAGATTACCCATTAATTGTAATTTAAGTGAAATTACTGAACTTAAATATACAAGCTTGATAAAAATTACCATTCTAGGAGAAAATTTCAAATGGCACTTAGAGGCTTTTACATCTGAACTCTTCATTTGTTTTCATTGTCATCAATCAAACATTGGATTTAGACATCAACCCGACTTTTATTTTCAACCAAAATCCAACGTCTGACCGACACTGTAGTCTATATCCTGTGCCTGCTGGGTTCACGCAGGTTCTACATATAGGTCATTCACGTTTTTATAATTTGCGTTGAGAGAACTTAAGAGTTTTCTTTTAAAATGGTGTCGTGTTAGTGGCCCCTAAGTTAATAACTATAATGGTAAATGGAAAATCCATGTGACAGAAGTGAATCAATCAAAAATAACTTTACTCTAGAGCTGCTATAAAGCCAAAACAATCTCTGTTTCTTTCATTTCTATATTATCACTGCAAAGCCACTTTGGAACAATCTACATTGTTAAAAGCGCAATATGAATGAAGATGACTTGACTTGACTAATGCAGGGGCAGATTATTATTTTGATATTTAACAAAACTTGACAAGTTTTGATAATATAAAATAAAAAAAAATAAGTTGTTTATTTGAACAGAATAAAAACCTTTATGTCTATCGAAAGTCCCCGTAAAACATGAAAACCCTTTGTGTGTGTGTGACTGTGTGTGTGTACAGCATCAGTGGGAGATACAGTTTACTGAACAAACTCTGCAGGCTACAGTTAACAAGTAAAACAGGAAACAAACTGCAGGGAGGAGGAGCATTTTAGCACAAACAACTATAGTCAAAGAAAAGGTGAGCTCAAAAACCACTCTTCTATTTTTCTGCAAATTTCTTGACGTTTCATAAATGTGTGTGACCTATTAATGTTTTGTGCTGTGTTTGTTATCTAAAAAGCATTATATTGGATTTGTGATCCATCTGGAGTTGGAGTTTTCTTAAGATAGCAGAGGAGCCTTCAACATCTATATGTAAGAATGTCGTCATTCTGACAAATGTTGTTTTGCTAAATTGAGTTTATCTGATATTGTCCTAAGAAATTAGTTTTTTGCTTCTTTGATTTTTATGAAATATAGTTTCTGTTGTCATAGTCCTGTAACCATCTTAGAGTTTTGTGTTCTTTGTCTTTTACACCTAACACAAAATAATATAATAAAATAAATATCTCAAATATAATGGAAAACAATGAGATTAAATTGATAACTTATATTTATTGAATGTATTACTAGCCAGATTTTATGATTAGGTTTTAAACTCTAGTTATAAGTTTGCTTTGAAGATAAAAACAAGTCTTTGCATTAGAGCTCTGTAAGACTGAATAGGGATCAGTCATACTTTAAGGGCAGAGATATAAGATATATACACATTTTAAATAATACATATATGGGCAGTCCTAAATTAAACTTTTGATGTTTGTCAGAGTACTTTGTAAACAGTAACTGCAGTTATACTGGTTTGATTGTCAATATGACTTTTTTTAATGTTTAGAGGGCAAACATTTTGAATGGAGAGATATGGCATAAGAGGAAACGCCTTCTCTTGGTTATGAAGTTACCTTGAGGATAGATATCAGTTTGTACAAATAAATAATATTAAACCTGATCTATCGAAAGTTACATGTGGTGCTCCACAAGGTTCGGTGTTATGTCCTAAATTTTTTTATATATAGATGATATATTTTTTAAAATGTCTAAAATATTAAAAATGGTATTGTTTGCAATATTGTTTGTATTGTTATTATTTTTTTAAATGTCTAAAATATTAAAAATGGTATTGCAAAGAGGAATGTATATGTTTAAAAAGTAAGAGCAAGAATAGCCTAATACAAAAAAAATGATGTACAATATATATATATATTTTCTCTTAGGACAATTTTCTGTGAGGACCGAAATAAAATAATAATAATAATAATAATAATAATGAAAATTACTCATCAACAATTTAATTAATTGTCTACTGTGAGACACCAATGTGTCCCTGAGCAGGACACTTAACCCCTAGTTGCTCCCGAGGTGTGCAACCTTTGACATATATAGCAATTTGTAAGCTGCTTTGGACAAAAACGTCAGCTAAAATAAATAAATGAATAAATGTAAATAAAGTTAAGCTGCTGCAACTAGATCATACTACATCATTTGTTGCAACTCAGCATGACAATAGGAGGAAGCTGGAATTATGTCAGTTTATGTCACCTGTAATGAGAATAATGACCTCAACATACATCTCATTTTATATTTTGTGTCTCTTTCAGAGATGTCGGTGATCAGCTCTGGTCCGGTTGATCCAGTGATCCGGTTTCTTCTGATGGGCAGAAAGGGATCTGGGAAAAGCTCATCTGGAAACACTATACTAGGAGAAAAGAGGTTTAAAGTTCACAAACAGAAAAAGAAACATGAAGCTGAAGTGTGTGAGGGTAAAACTCAGATCAGAGAGAAGCAGGTGTGTGTGACTGATTGTCCAGATCTACTGGATCCAGATCTGAATAAAGAGAAGCTTGAGAAAATGAAAGATCAGCTGGTCTCACAATGTTCATCAGGTCTCAGTGCAGTTCTACTCACCGTTCCTCTAGAGGAACCTGTGGAAAATGAGGAAGAGCTCCTGGATTATATCAAGTTTTTATTAGGCCCTGAAGTTCAGAAGTACATCATGATTCTGTTCACACGTGGAGATGAACTGGAGGATGAGACTATCGATAAATATCTACAAGATCATGCAGATCTGCAGCAACTTGTGACTGAATGTGGAGGAAAGTTTCACTGTTTCAATAACAAGAAGATTGTGGAAGGCGAAGTCTCAGAACTACTGCAGAAGATTGAAGGAATGGTGGCAGAGAATGGTGGCAAATTGAAGAGGAGTGATAGCAAAGAGACTATTATCAGTTGTAAGTTGTTTTGGTAATAATGAAGAGCATCTGCAAACGCTTTAAATGTAAATCTAACACTGATTTTTGTTTTAAAGAGAGTGTACTGAGACTATTGAGATTCATTGAAACAGCACACTGATGAGGTCAGTGATTTGATCTTTCTGTCTTAGTTTCAGATATCGGTCTGGAAGAGATTGATGTGATTCCTGAGAGAAAAGACCAGATCAGGTTGGTTCTGCTGGGAAAAACTGGATGTGGGAAAAGTGCCACTGGAAACACCATCATCGGCAGAAACGTGTTTGCATCTTCAGTCTGTTCAAACTCTGTGACGAATCAGTGTCATTTAGAATATACAGTAAGGTTAAGAAAAGCGATCTCAGTGATTGACACTCCTGGACTTTATGATACTAAACTCAATGAAAATGAGGTTAAAACTGAAATAGTGAAATGCATTACATATGCTTCTCCTGGACCACATGCTTTTATTATTGTGATTAGAGTGGGTCGATTCACTGAGGAGGAGAAAAACACGATAGAGAGACTTAAAGAAGTGTTTGGAGAACACATGGAAAAATATTCCATGATCATCTTCACCCACAAAGATGAGTTAGAAAAAAAATATAAAACCATTGAAGAGTTTCTAAAGGATTGTGATCCAAATCTTAAAGAACTTGTAAACAGTTGTGGAAACAGATTTGTCTGTGTGGACAATGAGTCTGCCAGTTACACACAGGTCAAAGATCTGATCGGTAAAATAGAGAAGATGGTGGCAGAAAATGGAGGACACTTTAGAAATGACATGTTTGATGAAACGGAGAAATGTATTAAGGAGATTCAGAAGAATAATATTTTTGAGAAAGTGAAGAAATTCAAACAGAAGCGCAAACAAGTCAATCAAACAGACTGGCAGAACATATTTTGGAGATTAGCAGATGAGTCACGGCAGGAAGCGAAACAATGTTTTTCTGACACGTTCATGGCAGAACTTCTTATGTATCCTAATGTAAATATATCAGATATACGCAGAAAACTGGAGAATGTGGTGACCCTTGAGGAGAAGGAGAGCACCATAAAGGAGGCTGAGAGTCAAGGATTCAGACACGCACAGGCTGTTCAGCTTGCAATCAAAGCCACACGGGAACTAGCAAAACAGAAAATGTGTACAGTTCAGTGAGAAACTCAATAATGATTATTGTGTGCCTTCTTCTATCATGTTGTTAACAATTTGTTTCATTCTATCATTTACTATAAATAGAATGGATGGTTAACACCAAAATAGTTGCATACAATTGCTTTATTGATCACAACCAATCCGGCCTGTACTCTCAGATGTAAACAAGTCAAGTGTTATCCTATCCTTTCTATTTTTTTTTCAAGTAACTTACAAAATTAAGGACAATTGACCTTATGCACAGCTGCACTACTTCCTAAACTTAAGCCAGCTCCTTGTTTCCTGTCTGCCATTATTGGTCAAATTGATTAATTCAGGTGTGCCTGACCTCAGTAGTCACGGCAACAATAATCAGACACACCTGAATTAATCAAGTTTGGCCAATAATAGCAGACAGGAAACAAGGAGCTGGCTGAAGTTCAGGAAGTAGTGCAGCTTTGCATAAAGCCAATTTGATCATTTAAGAACTTAATGAACTATAACTCAGAAAAGCATTTATCTGTTCACTATACTTCTGAATTTGTAATGTGTCTAATGACGAAATAAATTAAGTTTTAAACTCATTCAAAATAAATTGTCTAGTGTCATCTTTACTGTTCATCTTTTCTACCTTTTTTTCTTTTTTTATCTCTTCTTCTCAGAGGGGACTGGAGGTGATTATTACTGACCATAGTCTTTAAGGTAGAAAGGTCTGATCACTTTGAATCCAGACTTTGTACTAAAGTAATAGACATCACTGTATCAGAAATTACACAGTTACTGCCTCTAAAATAAAGCAACATGCAACATAACATCAATGTTTTTCTGCTCATCCTTGACTGAATCACAGGCTCTACTCTTAAAGGAGTAGTTCACTTTTGAAAAAACCTTTGCTGATAATAAGGTTTTTGATTAAAACATTCCAGGATTTTTCTCCATATCATAGTGTTGTTATTTAGTCTCTCCCGATAGAGACCCTTTCCTTTTGCTTCATTTATTCCCAAGAAACTGTGCCTTATGGCAAAAATGCAAATAAATATCAAGCTGCTCCCCTTCTCTGTCGCTATTTCTCTCGGTCTCACGGTCGAAGTAACCATGACAACAGATAGCGTATCCTCCCAAGATGGCGGATCCTACTCTTTTTGCACTTGTTAAGTACTTATTGAAATTAAGTACCTAATCATTGAGTATGCGGTTTCGAACGCAGCCTCAGAGCTGTTATCGTGGCAAAAGGAGATTGCAAAAAAATATTTAATAAAAGGGAGCCAATAATTGTGGCCAACGTGTTTAGAAGAAAAACATTTATTTCATAATGTGATTTACCCCACACTTTAAATTATTTTACTTCAATGAAAGGTTAAATTTTTGCATATTTTTATTTAATTAAAGATCAAAAGGATAAACAATGCAGATTTATTTTTTACAGACATTGTTTATCATATTTACCATTGATGCCATCAATTTAGATGTATAAATAAAGGTGTATAAATATTCCCGCTAAACTTTTTTTGACGTGTTCTACACGTCCGATATAGACTTTCATCGAACCTTCGTACAAGTTTGGCTGTTTATTTGGTCCAGAAACAGTATAAATTGTCTAAATGAGATCATAAATGGTGTTGAAAACATGTCCATAATGGCCACATTTGAACTAGTTTTTAAACTTGTACGAAGGCTCAATAAAAGTCTATATCCGACATCCAGAACACGTCAAAAAAGATGTCATCAAAACTTTCAGGTAACACTTTATTTAGATAGTCCACTTTAGACATTCTGTTAACTATAAGTAACTTTTTAACTACATGTCAACTAACTGTAATTAGAATTAGTAGACTGTCAGCTTAATATTTGCTAACACTTTATTTTGTTGGTCCCCCAACAGACATTCAATTGACTATTAGTAACTTGGCAACAGAGGTGGAAGTAACGAATTACAACTACTCAGATTACTGTAATTAAGTAGTTTTTTCGTGTACTTGTACTTTTATGAGTATATTTTTAAGTCTGTAATTGTCCTTGTACTTGAGTACAAATTAAGTTAAAGGGCACATATCATGCAAAATCCACTTTTTTAGCCCTTAAATGCATTTTGTTGTATATTTGGAGTGTTTATAAGTACAGAAAAGATGAAATTATTCTCTTCAGGTGCTTCGTTTATATCTTTATATTCTTCTGTTCAGATTTTTTTGTTCTCTATTACTACCGGTCCAACACTTCGAGCAATCCTCCATTATTATTTCTCGCTCCGATATTGTAGTCCGAGCTCAATGATGCAGAAGTTACGAGAGGGCAAGTCAAAATGTTCGGTTGTTGGATGTAGTGACCTGAAGCACTTCAAGGATTCCCACTTCAACAACCTCCGCCAGTAACGTTATACAGAAGGGTTTGCCGATCGACATCGTCTGAATGAGGGGTAAATTCCTTCTATTTAGCTGCTGTGTTTTCTGACGCTTTCTAAACGTAAGTTAATATATTATTATCAATACAGATTTTTAGTGGTAAGATTAGATCGCAGTCATTTATCTGGTCAGTGTGCTTGTTTTAACAAGAGAAATAATGTTAGTGGACTTTCACTAAAAACAACATAGTTAACTTACATACCCCTGCATCCATATGAAGAGGTTGTTCTGCAGGTTCGTCGTCGTCTTTATCGACTCGCTCGCTCTGGCTCGAACATGTAAGGCTTGCAAGTCTTCTGTTGTTGACATTTTGTTAACGTGTGAATAAAAATGTTCTTTGAAGCTATAGTAATCGTATATCTCTAATCAAACTACAATAATGGCCGAACGCGGGGAGTTGAACCGACTGTGAACTCATCAACCTGGAAAGCGGGTGGGGAAAGACTCAACTCCTTTTTATTTAAAGGGGACGCTTTGAAACGTCTTGCTCACAGACGCCGATCAGAAAAGGGGTAGAAAAGGGGCCTGTGGAGCTGTAATAATGAGGAATTCAGACCCAAGCATTGCAGTTATGCTTTATATAGACCACAAATGTATGATTTATAAGTAAAATGAATAATTTAAAAGCATGTTAAGACGGGTTAGAGTTGATCTGGACTATGACAGAGAAACGGTGTCATTCTCTGATCCTGTAACTAACACACATCTACACACATTCACAACCACCTTCACTGACACAGTCTATCCGTTCTTTGATAGTTTTTCCCCTCTGAGGATCTTACCGTTCAATAGTCAGTAAACGCTGTAGGTCTGGATCGACATGTTTTCATCGTTTAAAGCAGTGATTCCCAACCTTTTTTTTTTCCAGGAGAACTCTATTTTAACAATCAAAATATTTAACAAGGGCAGATTTTTCTTTGCAACAGCAGACTCTACTTTTTTTTAATTGATGAGAATACAACAGAAGCAAACTAAAATCTATGAATGGGAATGTAAATAAAGATAATTCAGATAATTCATGTATTTTTCTATGTATTTTTTAACCCAAAAACACTTAAAAACTTAAAACATTCATTTAAGAAGAACAATAATATAACCAAATCAATGCTATTTCCATATTTTAAATTATGCATATTTTTTCATGCCACTCTTTGTATTCTTGACTGAATTAAGCCCTTATTTAATTGTGAAAGGCTTTTTAATGTGAGCTCGGGGCCTGCATTTGTTGGACGAGATATTGGATATCAGGCATTATTTTAGTGACCGCCAGATGAAAGTCATTGTGCACGTCTACACTGTAAAAAAATCATGATTTGTTATAACGTTTTTTTCTTCTGTCAAATCAATTAAGATAATTTATGTGGTTCAGATAACATAATATTTTGAGTTTCTGATCACTAAATCAATCTCCTTCATTGTATTAACTCAATTTTTCAATTTCAGTTAATTTAAAGTTAAGGCAACCAGGTTACTTATTTTTTTTTAAGTTAAACCAACAATATTTTTTTACAGTGTAGCTTATGGCATGCCTTCGTTTTGATGGTTACTAGAGAGTTAAAAGCAGTCTCTGACAGATTTGTTGTTGCGATTGGCAGGATGAGTCAGGATGAGTCTAGGCACAAAGTCAGGTTCTTACACCAGCCGGAACTGTTTGTTCCTGTGTTTCGGTAAAGAATCTCCTCAAGAATTTGACTCAATATCCAAGAGCTCGTCCTCTATTTTTCCAAATACTACACGTCCTCCTCCTTTGCACTGAATGGATCCATTACCCATATGTGCACTTGGAGACATGTTCATCAACATCCAAAAATCGTTATTTCATCTCCCCAGCAGTTCAATGTGACGTGTGAACTCGTTGCTCAAGGATTCAAGGTACATTTCCCACAGTCTTTTTGAGAATTATGGAAAGTGTTGTAGGTCCCATTTTATCAGTTTATTCTTTCTGAATTCCACATTATGCACAAATGTGTCAGTGTCCTTGCATTCCAGGTCAAATGCACCCACGCTTGTTTGTTTTGTTATAAAAACAAATAAAGAAACTTTTTTTATACACAGTTGTTTTTTTAATGTCACAATAAATTAATTTGTTTATTATTCATGTATTAACTAACATAAACTTTCCATGAGCAACACATTTGTTACTGTATTTCTTCATCTTAGTTAATAAAAATAGGCTGCAACTGTTAATTGTTTGTTCATGTTGTCACATGTGCATTAATGTTAACAAATAAAATAATGTTTTAGTAAATTCTGAAATTAATATGAACTGAGATTAATAAATGCTGTGAAAGTGCAGTTGTTCATGTTAACAAATTTAATAATGAAATTTTATTGTAAATTGTGACTGATTTCATGATAGCTAACACTTACATGCGTAGCCTAATACATACTGCACAACATTTACAACATAAACAAAACTGCATGGATCCTCATAATTAGCTTCTTGATTCTCCCTTTAAAGATAATTTTACTAAATATTATTTACATAATTTAAATATTTAATATAATTTAATTTAAAATTTAATTTAAATATTACATAATTAGGTTTTGTGTCATTCTAATTATCAACGTCTTTTCATAGAACAGTTTTATATACTGTACATTTATATCGCACCACCGTAATCA